ATTCGGTGAAACACTCACTAAAGGGGCCTTAACATGGTATTCTCTTTTACCTGAAAATTCTATAAATTCGTTTGCTGAGCTTGCAGATTTATTTATCAAAGCACACTCGGGAGCTCAAAAAGTTGAAAAGCGAATGGAAGATATCTTCAAAATTAAGCAAGGAGATTCAGAGTTGCTAGAGAGTTCGTAGATAGATTTCAACGGGAAAGAATGACGCTGCCACGAGTACCTGACAATTGGGCAGCCATAGCCTTTGCTAGTAATTTGAATGAGAAGAGTTCAGAAGCCACGAGGCGACTCAAAGAAAGCCTTCGAGAATTCCCAGCAACAACGTGGAATGATGTCTACAACAGATACAGTACAAAGATGAGGATTGAAGAAGACATTATTTTACGACATAAAACAGAAGAAAAGGTAAGCTCAAGGCGTGTGGAAAATGAAAAGAGATCCGGTAAAAACAGGTACGAGCCATACATGGGACCTGCGGGAAAGGACTCACGGTCAAGACAAGATAATCAAAGGTACGATCACAAACCGAGAAACAAGGAATCAGGCTCCTCATCAAGGTTCGGGAATGATCGAAACACACGCGGGTCACGAGACGATGATGGAAGTCTAAAGGCAAGGTTCGGTGGTTACAACTTCAACGTAAGCACCTCTGAACTCGTGGCTGTTTTAAGAAGCATGGGAGATAAGGTACGATGGCCAAAGGAAATGCGATCAAATCCGAACAGACGAAACCCTGATCATTGGTGCGAATTTCATAACGATCATGGGCATAAAACAGCAGATTGCAGGTTTCTGCAAGGTGAAGTTGATCATTTGTTAAAACAGGGGTATCTTACTGAGTTATTCAGTGAGAAAGGTAAACAAGCATACATGAAGAACAGGCAGGAGCCTCCAAAACCACCTTCGCCCAAGAGAACTGTCAACGTTATAAGTGGGGGTGAAGAGATCAACGATGTATCATATAAAAAGGTTTCAAAAGTAACAATTACCCACGGGAAGCGGCCTCGACATGTACTGGAAGAAGAGAATGTTATATTCAACAACGCAGACGCCGAGGGACTCATAACTCCGCATAACGACGCACTGGTAATATCTTTACTTGTACATGATACTAACGTGAAACGAGTTTTGGTTGATCCAGGTAGTTCCGTAAACATTGTTTTAATACGGGTATTGCGCGAGATGCAAGCGGAGGATAAATTAATTCCAAAGGCGCATACTTTGTCGGGATTTGATAACTCTAGTGTTGTAACAAAAGGGAGGCAATACTTACTACATTCGCAGAAGGCGTCGTTAAAGATACCAAATTTCAAGTGGTAGATATGGAAATGGCTTACAATATGATTCTTGGGAGGCCATGGATTCATGACATGGAAGCTGTTCCTTCAACTTTACATCAAGTTATTAAATTTCCATCTCCATGGGGAATATGCCAAATCAGAGGCGATCAACAAACATCTAGAAGCATCAATTCCGTTGCAGATTCAACTGTTAAAGGTGAAGACAAATAGCAATTACAGAATTTAGGTGAGGGTAACACGGAGTCAACTCACCTGAGCAAAAGCAAACAGATCTGGATTCAAGACCTGATACCATTCAAGAACCGGAGGAGAATGAGAACATCAAAACAACGATAGAAGAGCTAGAGGCCGTGGTGTTATTTATACATTGGCCCGAGAGAAAAGTGTACATAGGAGCTAATCTTAGCCCGGAGGTAAAACGTAAATTGATTGAATTTTTAAAAGCTAATGCTGTTTTGCTCGGTCCCATTCTGACATGACAGGGATACCACCGGAAGTCATGACTCATAAATTGAATGAAGATCCATCATATCCTCCCGTCAAGCAAAAGAAAAGAAAGCAAGGAACTTTCAAAAATAAGTGATTCAAGAGGAAGTTCAAAAGTTGCTAAAAATTGGTTCAATTCGTGAGGTAAAATATCCTAACTGGTTAGCTAATACTGTTGTGGTTCCTAAGAAGAACGGTAAGTGGCGAGTCTGTGTAGATTACACAGACCTTAATAAAGCCTGTCCAAAAGATTCCTTTCCTTTACCGCACATAGATCAGTTAATTGATGCTACTGCAGGGCATGAGCTATTAAGTTTTTTAGATGCATATTCAGGCTATAATCAAATCAAGATGGATCCAGGAGATGAAGAAAAAACTTCTTTTATAACAGACAGGGGGACTTACTGTTATAAGGTAATGCCCTTTGGTCTTAAGAATGCAGGTGCAACGTATCAAAGGTTGGTCACCCAAATGTTTCAAGAACATTTAGGTAAAACCATGGAGGTATATATAGATGATATGCTAGTTAAGACTCAACATTCAGAAGATCATATATCGTACCTGTCTGACACGTTTAAAATTTTACGAAAATATAATATGAAGTTGAATCCAGAAAAATGTGTATTTAGTGTGGCATCAGGTAAGTTTTTAGGTTTTCTTGTTTCTAACCGTGGTATTGAAGTGAATTCTGCACAGATTAAGGCCATTGAAGAAATCCCTGATATACTTTCAAACAAGAAAGAGGTTTAAAGACTAACGGGAAGAATTTGGGAAGGTTCATTTCTAAATCATCGGAAAAATGTTTCAAATTCTTCTCGGCCCTTAAGAAGCAGGATCATTTTGAATGGGATGAGGAGTGTCAACAAGCACTTAGGGATTTGAAAACATACTTGTCAAATCCACCTTTGCTAGCAAAACCAAAGGCTGGGGAGAAACTTTTCATCTATCTTGCTGTTTCAGAAGTTGCGGTAAGCGCGGTTTTGGTTCGAGAAGAGCAGGGTAAACAATCTCCTATCTATTATGTTAGTAAATCTTCGTTAGATGCAGAGACATGGTATCCACAATTGGAAAAACTAGCACTTGCTCTAATCATGGCATCTAGGAAGTTAAGACCATATTTTCAATGTCATCCCATTGTTGTAGTGACTGCATACCCCCTACGTAATATATTGCATAAACATGAATTGTCAGGGAGGTTAGCTAAATGGGCCATAGAGCTAAGTGAATATGAAATCACGTACTTACCTAGAACGGCAATAAAATCACAGATATTAGCTGATTTCGTGGCTAACTTTAGCCAAGGGATGCAACTAGAAGCAGAAAAAAAAAAAAGTACAAGTACTTAATAGGGCTAATCCAGGAACATGGACCTTATTTACTGATGGCTCATCTAACGTAAAAGGTGCAGGATTAGGAATTATTTTAGTACCACCTACGGGTGAAACTATTAGGCAAGCTATTAAATGTCATCTGTAACTAACAACGAAGCGGAATATGAAGCTGTGATTGCAGGTCTAGAATTGGCACGGGAACTTGGTATAAATCAAGTGGTGATCAAAAGTGATTCGCAACTCGTGGTTAATCAAATGCTAGGGACTTACACAGCTAGGGAAGCAAGGATGCAACAGTACTTGGAAAAAGTACGGGAACTGATAAAGCAATTCTAAACTTGGAAGGTCACACAAATATCAAGGGATGAAAATGTTGAAGCAGATGCCTTAGCTAATCTCTCATCCGCAGCTGATATAGCAAAAGATGAAAATGCTACAATTATACATTTATTTCATTCAGTTATCGAACCTGATAAGAATGAGGTAAATTTTAATAATTAACTTGGGACTGGAGAAACGAAATTGTTGCTTTTTTACAGTATGGTACCGTCCCTGATGACAAGAAGCAAACGCATGCACTTCGAAAAAAGGCTGCTCGTTACTGTTTAAAACAGGGGAACCTTTATTGTAAGATGTTCGGTGGTCCATTAGCAAGATGCCTCGGACCTTCTCAAACGGAGTATGTAATGAGGGAAATACATGAGGGGCATTGCGGGAATCACGCAGGAGGAAGATCACTGGTGAGAACCTTGATTAGAGCAGGATACTACTGGCCTAAAATGGAAGAAGTAGCGGAAAGTTTCGTAGCTAAATGTGATAAATGTCAAAGGTACGGTAACAACATGCATAGACCTGCGGAATTGTTACATCCGGTCATAGCACCATGGCCATTCATGAAGTGGGGAATGGATATCGTGGGTCCATTACCACAAGCAAAAGGACAGGTAAAATTTTTGCTCGTACTTACTGATTATTTCACTAAATGGGTAGAGGCAGGAGCATTTAAACAGGTACGAGAAAAGGAGGTCAAGGACTTCATTTGGCGTAATATCATCTGCCGATTTGGTGTACCAAAGGAGATTGTATGCGACAATGGCCCTCAATTTATCGGATCTCAAGTCACAGAGTTTTTTGAGAGCTGGCAAATTAAAAGGATTACATCTACACCTTATCACCCAGTAGGCAACGGGCAAGCAGAATCAACGAACAAAGTCATATCAATAATTTGAAGAAACGTTTAGAGGAGTTAAAGGGTAATTGGCATGAAGTGTTACCCGGAGTGTTATGGGCATATCGCACGATAACAAAGACGAGCACAGGTGAAACTCCTTTTTCTTTAGTTTATGGAGCTGAAGCATTAATCCCAGTTGAAACAGGAGAACCAAGTACAAGATTCTCACAAGCAACACAAGAGGCTAATGATGAAGAGATGCGGGTCAATTTGGATTTACTGGAAGGCAAGAGAGAAGCTGCATTAATAAGAATGGCGGCACAAAAACAAGTGATCGAACGATATTACAACAGGAAAGCACGGCTGAGGTACTTCAAAATTGGGGACTTCGTGCTTAAAAAGGTTTTTCAATCTACAAAGGCAGTCAATGCGGGTAAACTAAGTCCAACCTGGGAAGGACCCTACAGAGTTCGAAATATTGCAGGAAAAGGAGAAATATGTAATCACTGGAGACACGAGTAACTATTGAAATATACTCTGATTTACCAGCTTTCATACTTGGCTATTCTAAAATTTCTTTCTTTATTTACTTTTCCGATTATCAGTAACCCGATTCTTCTAATTTCTAGCTTTGACTAAAAATCTATTTTTTTGGTTAAACACCCCCTTTCTTCCTATTTGGAATTGACTCTTTGCATTTCTTCAGTATATCTTCACACAATCTTCGTCCCTCCAGTCGTGCAAAATGCACTGTTCAACAATGAAGAATTAAGTTGAGCAGAAACAAAATTGCCCTTCTTTACCCTATTCAATTTTTATGTTAACAATATCAATTTGTGTTACCTATCTGATTGGGTGCAGAGTTTAATAAAGAACTTTTGAAATCCAGTGGTCTTACACATGCGATAAAGTTTTTGTGGCATTAAGCAGAGACGGAACCAGAATTTGAAGCTTATGGGTTTGAGATTCTAATCATTTTTAAATTAGGGTTCTAAATTAATAATTTGTACATGTTTTAATAAAATTTCATCAAACAAATACAGGGTTTAAACCAAAGCTACTGGTTTTGGCCGAACCCGTAACTCGCTCTCGAGCTCCGCCCTGGCTATAAGACTTTTGAAACTTGTGATCTTAAACCTATCGTAATATTTGGATGGCTATAAAGCTTTTCATTAAGGGCAAAATGGAAAGTTGAAGTTCAATTGTCTTTAAATTCAGATAAGTGATTAAGTTCGCATAAACCGAATAATATTTTTTTTTTTTTTTTTTTTTTTTGTACCTTGAGTAAGATGGCATTAGCATGGGGAATGTTATCGAACATATCTCTTCCAACAAACTCCAAATTTCCACTTCCCTTGCAATCTTCTACAACATGTACAGTGCACTTTATGTTAGGAAAAGCTAAAAGCTATAGCAATTGACACAGTACCAGTGCCACCACCAACGAACTCAACCCCTCAAACACATGTTTACACTCCGTAATAAGAAAATTGGTATTCAACCTCGAGTCACTAGCCAATGCATCATTGAAAATATCGCCTAATACCCTTGGTTCTTGATCTACATGAAATATAATCCCATAAAGATTTCCCATTAGCAGTATGAAAAGCAGTGGGAGAATCATTTTGGACTCAAACCATGCTTTTGAAAAGACTGGATCATGGTTGATAAGCAAGAGTGATCTAACATTAAAGGGCTCATTATCCAAAAGAAGGCGACTAGCTGGGGTAAGGGAATAGTGGTGATCTTGATCATGTTGATTTAGGAAACAAACCTTTGAAGGATTGATTACTAGGGAAAGTTCAGCGGAGAGATCGGAAAGAGACATGGGCTTACCATATTTGTAGAGGACATCAGGAATGCCTAGTTGAAGTGCGCACATATTCTTACTGCTGAAGAACTTATGAAGTTGAAAACATGGTTCCAGATTTGAGCTTGCGCACGGAGAAGCTCAGTGCTACTCTCACTCGCTCACATTTCTAAGGGACTTGTTTTGCTTAGACTTGCATATTTATACAACTAATGACAACTATCCATATCCACGTTTTTTGTTCTCTAGTTGAAATTAAGAGACCGTTTTGGACATAAGAAATTGTTTCCTGTTTTCCAAAAAAGTTTTTTACTTTTTTCCCGAAATCTGCATTTGTTCATAAAATTTCTAATTTTCACTTGAAGATGCATTTTGGAAATTTCGAAAATTTGAAAAACTCCAAAAACCTGTTTTTCAAAATTTTCACTCAAATCACTCACAAAACTTCAAAAACAACCCAAAATAATATTCATGTCCAAACACAACTCTAAATTTCAAATGCCATTTTCACTTGAAATCTTTTTCACCCTTATTTGGAATTTTACAATTCTTATGTCCAAATGCCCACTAAGTTATATGCTCTGATACTATAAAGAATTTTTAATCTTGTCATGGTGGGGACTAGTCATGTTGTCCACAAATACTATATCGATGTTGGGTACGGGAATATTGAGTGTGGGTAAATTCTCGAAAGTATTAACCAAGATGAAAATAAAAGCAGCATTTATTTTTCAATTTGCTATGTTCTTTTTTATCTTTTTAAGTTTCTATTCACAAAAAAAAAAAAAAAAAAAAAAAAAAAAAAAAAAAAAAAAAAATTTAAGTTTGGCCTCCACAATCTGAATCCCTCCAATTATTTCTCTTGAATCCCCATATCCATTGTTGTAATTTTCTATATTTCCATTACAATGAGTATATTTTATTATTTATGCAATAACAATAGGGTCCTCACTCAGCTTTATATCCATTACGTAGCAGGAAAAAAAAGTAGAGATTCCTGTATTTTGCAGGTGCCTGAATCTGTCAAAGTCACGGATTGCTCCATTGGTGCAATTTTCCCTAATTCAGCTGGTATTTCGGAGAGAGTAGAGGTGCAAACTAGTAAATTGGAGCAGTAATTTAAATATGCCTGTATGCATTAATACAAGAGATTTTCCAGTCTTGCTAGAATTATTCAATCTTTAACATGAAGTGCAAGACAAAAGTACTTCTCAAAATAAGCAGTTTGGCCTAACACGCTCTAAATCTACTAAGAATAAGCTATATGAATGTTTAGTTTTTATTACTGAAGTAACAAACTATTCTCCTAGCAGAGATTTTACTATTTTATGTCATTTTTCTACTTCATCAGGTAGATTATCACAAATACATTATACACTACACATGCCTATACTAAAGAATTGCTGAATTTCAAGAAGAGAGACTCAAATTCACATATACGCAATATGCTTTATTACAGAACGTATGTTCCTGAGACTGAATCCTAACTCAAAGTGACACAGTTCGGGTTAGTTTACTAAAAATCGAGTTAACAATACAAATGTGATCACTATCATGGGGTGGAAATGTCAAAGTCCACCTTCCATCAGACATCCTCGGCATCATCATCAGAATTATGTATCTCATCATCATCATCGTTGAAGATGTCCATAGCATGTATCTGTATATTCTGAAACTGGTTGATTGCATCTCTTGCTTCGGATATGAGAGCATTTTTTGCAACTTTAATCACATCCATTTTTCTGACATTCTCATCCTTGTGATCATTCTTATTTTGGCGGCCCATTGCTGATCTTGAAGTGGCTGCTGCCTTTCTCTTTGCTTCCCTGCAATGTAGCTGATCAATATACCTCTCATGTAGCACCTTATTCTTAATTGGCTTTAGAACTGGCGGGCTGGTAAGAGTTGCTACTGATAAACCACTTAATCGGGAAAGGTGCTTTTTATGAGCTGAAGACGATCTCTCCAGGCACTTTCTAAGATAATGCAAACCTTCTTCGTTGCGCTCTGGAGTGAAGATTTCTGTATTCTGGCAAAATGCCCTATCAGTTGGATCTGTTGATTCAAGAACATTGAAGAAGTCTACCTCCTTATCTCGATCTACATCGTTTTGCTTTTGCAGTAGTTGTCTCACTTTCTTCCGTGAGAGATGGTTCTTCGGCTTGCTATATCTGAGCTTTTTTGTGGTTTTCCCCGTGGACAGGAGCAGTTTAGTTGCACAAGGAGAAAGTGATGACGTGTTCATCTTTTTAACCCTTGAACGTGGTTGAGGCTGAGGTGGGGTCATGAAATCCGAATGTATCTTGTCAAAACATTCCTTTGCTGATTTTCCAGGCACCTGCAATGCAAGTCCAAAGTTTACTGAGATGACCACGTATGTCGCAAGCTGATGTGCAAAATTACAAGGAAAACTAAAACGAGCCAGAGATGATAACTACCATACCTTTCTTTGGTTTTTCATATTTGAATTACAGTGTTCAGAAAACTCACAGGTTACAAGCACAATTTGCTAACATATTGATGTCAACAAAGGACCTAGAATCTACATTCATGGATTTCTAGGTGGAGCGCGATCCTAATAGTTCCTAATTGAAGCTGAGGAGTAGAAGTATATACCAAGTTACTTTTCAGCTCAAGGCTTGTTGACTAGCAGCTTGTGTCCAAACGAGCTGTAGGTATGCAAAATTATTTGGATCTAAGAATAAAAATACCACCATAAGTAATTCTAGCTAATCCACTGCCATGTCATTCACAAATAGGTTTCATCTTGGGAAATACATTATACGAAGCAACAGTTCAGCTTTTGGTACCTATTTACATCCTCCAGTCACAGCTGGTAAACCCCAGGATCAATCCCTCTAGCGAGACAATACCTGAATACCCAATACTGTTGACTTATCTGCTGATATAGTCCCAAAACCCAGGATTACGTCAAATGATCAAATGCTCCAGCCAAACTTTCTCCAAGTCCGACAGCATCATCTGTGGCCTTTACTTTATCCTTTACTTCATTACAAAAGAGACATGATCAGGAGTAGGGATGAAAAAGGTCAAAGAAGACGGGATTAACCTATCAGTGCTACGCTGAGCCTCGGGGACAAACTAAAGTCCTACTTTATAGAATGAAATAGTGCTGTTATATATTTTTTCATCACCTGATGTCATTCACTGTAGTTCATCCTCTGGCTTCGGAAACATCACCAAGCCTCACAAGAAACTAGCCTTTCACCTTTTTCCTACAGTAAAGGTTCTATGCACTATCAACTTGCTATCTAACGTTTATTTTGGACACGCCCCCGTACAACCATCAAATGATTGATATACCAGTATGATACTTGGCTGGCTGAAGTATCAAGTACTGCTCGTCAGCACCATTACAGTCATACTGCTCACAGATTATTGTTAAAAGTCACTTTCCCCAGATGAAATGAGTCCACTAATCAGTCTTCCCATGCAATTTGTACCATTTCTCACTTAATGCTGGAACTAATGTTGATGCTCCAACCGTATTGATGTTACAATATCCCCCCAAGAGATCACTTTCTCTCTCTCTTACACCCCCCCCCCCGTCCCCCTACCTTTTCCCTCCCTCCCTCCCTCTCTCTCCCCCTCCCTTTCCCTCCCTCCCTCTTGATGAACCATAAGTGCTATCTAACTGCAGGAGGAAGTTATTCTAGTAACATGACAATCTTCTAAAGTGTAAAAGATCAACCTTGATGTCTCTCTCCTTTTCTCCCTCCTGCAAGAATTTATCTTGCTATTCCAATATTTCATGGTATAAGCAGGGAAAATAAAATCATCATGCGCATAATAATGATTTTTCCTACTCCGATTGGCGATTCCTTTGTCAAAATAAAACTATCTTAAGGTTTCTTCTTTTTTTTTTGAGGTAGGGGTAACATATGCGTACACACTATCCTCCCAAGACCCACTTGTGGGAATACACTGGGTATCGCTTTATTTATTATTTCCATTCAAAACCACCAGCCGACTCAGCAGTGGGTTGAAGATTTGGTAGCAATTTGGAAGGTGAAAGTAGTTTACTGGTAAAGATGACATTGATTGTTCAAGTAAGCAAGCATACATGGAAGAAAGCGGGTAAAATAGTACCGTAGGAGAGATGGTAGGGGGAGGAGGCCAACGAAGAGTGCTGGAAAATTAGGTCATATCATACTAAAAATACTCGCTGCTGGAGAATCAGCTGGTAGAAACGGATTAAAATCCACAGAGACAACCATATTAGGACACTCGGCATGTTGAACCAAATTGGAAAACAAAAATAGAAAGAATGACTATTTAAGAATCTATAAGAGGACGAATTATAAAACTGAAGTGAGGTCCTTGGAATACATAAACGAACTTCATTTGGTCAGAGAAAGTTGAAAAAGATAATAGAGAAAGCCAGAAAGGAGTGAGATACGAGAATATACAGCTGTTAATTGATCTGAGATTGATCTTATTTATCTTATATATAAGAATAATTTTCCTTAGGGATATACTTTTACTGATGGGAAAGATGAAATGAAATTGTCTCTACCCATCAACTATTTCTCTTCTGGAAACAAATAAAATCCCCAATTAACTTTAGTAAAAATTCAAGAGCCAATCCACTTGTCTAGACCCAAAGTTATACAACAACATTTTTGCAGCAAACAGGCTATCAGGCACATTTAGCTTCCAATAAGAGGGGAGGGAGGGAGAGGTGAACCCTTGAAAGAAAGGAGGAAAAAGTGAAAGTAACCCTTTGACATTGGTCACAGGTTGGGCGGTCGTGCATCTTAAGACCATCCAAAGACTCTGAAACTCTTTTTTTGACATTCTTAGTTTCTGGACAAAGATCAACTTAATTTCGAGAGGCCCAATTTCAGACTAAAATTGACTAAACCATCCCCAACCTATCAGCTCCTATACTTGCAAAATTCATTTTCTTATTACATTGAAACTGTTGATGTGCAAACATATCACTTGGTAGGTCTGAATATAAGACCCGGAAATCGTCCAGGCAGGCAATTTGTATCACACCTGAAATCCTACCTTTGATAATACCTGGCCTTTGACACTTAAAACCATAA